AGCTCAAGCGGCAACTCGCGGAGACGCAGCAGCGTGAACGCGAGCTGGCAGAGAAGCTGTCGAGCGGACCTATGCCGGCGTCCGTCGAGAAGCCTGCGGTGAAGATGGAAGTGGTGGAGCCCCAGCTGCCGGCGTCGTTGCGTGCGCACAAGGGGGAGCGGTCGGGTGCGAGCCTTGGACTCATGGTGCGTAGCTTTTGAATTGGTTGCTGCGAACGGAGATGAACAGAGGTTGTGGGATAGGTCCTTCTGTGTGCGCTGCCCACGCTCCTCTCGATGCCCACGCACAACACGATGCCGAGCAGCATGTCATTCGGCCACTCCCACTCTCACTCGCATTCCCACTCGACTTCGCTGGACATGGCGACGTTCCCGCCCAACGACTACGACTGGGGCCTTGGCTTTGGGACAAGCGCGATGGACCTCGACCTTGCGCCCTCTACGCTTACCCCGGAGGAGCAGCGCGGTGAGCCCGAGTTCAAGAAGCTCGAGTTCGTCGACCTGGATGCGGAAAAGTTTGGCTTGAGCGGCTTGGACATCTCGTTCGACGCGAGCGCGGCAAAGGATGGGCGCATCCGTGTGCGGATCCATCCTCCGGCGGCTTCGGATAACGGCAACGGCAGCGAGCAGGCGCAGATCGAGGAGGACCAGACGATGTGGCATGACGCCGAGGACGACCTCGGGCCATTCCTCGGCGTGGGTTCCGGGTTCGATCAGGCTTCTTTTGGCTCCAACGGCCTCCGCCCGCTCGACTTCTCGTTCCCGTCGTCGCAGTCCTCGGCATACTCCGCAGCGTCGTCGTCGCCGTCCCTCGTCTCCTCGCCAACGAACGCCTTCTTTCCGCCCATGCCCTCACCTTCGCAAACGCCAAACGAGTACGAGTTCGAGCTCGGCAGCGAGTATGGTAGCGTCGGCAGCGGCATCTCGCGTGCGGGTAGCCCGGGCATGAGCTCGAGCGGCAAGCGGCGAGTGCGTATAGCTTTACGCGGGATGCCCGGCAAGGGCAAGGAGGGAGGCGAATGGGAGGTGGAGGTTTGCTAGGCTTGATGCCTGGAGAATGGATGTGCAGTGCAGGACATGCAAAAATATGCGTTTCTCATGCCTGATGCCTCGCGCGGTCGAGCGGACGCTGCGGGAGGTGCGATTATGTGTTAAACTATCCTCGGTGTGGTTCCACCATAACTCCCTTTGATTTCTCATCCTCTAGTTTTTGTTCTGGTTCTTCGCGCCTGTGCATGCGCGGTCTTTCTTTGGATATCTCCCGCTTGTTTGTTATTTGTGACTCGTCGTACCCTACTCGCTCGTCTGTATTGTTTGGCTCTCGTGCTCTCGCCCTCGCCCATTGCATTCATACGTCGTAAAAAAAACCGTATTATACCTATCCCCGATGCATCCGCCATCCGCCATACATCGTACATAAATACATCATCACATAGATACACACCGACTTACAGAAAAAGCAAGTATCGTACATACTCGTTACTATTACCCCCCGACTACCCTAACATACCTCATACCCGCCTCGCCGCACTTGTTGTTTGTTTCCAGACGGTTGTTGGTTATTCGTTTCCCCTTCCTCGATTCCCTCCATGCCTCCTGGTGGATGGGACCGAGAGAGGTCAGTTTGTTTCGCTTTAGACTGTTTGAAGCTGGAGCAGTCCATGTCTTCGTGTCTGTCATTTCCGTGATCTGTCTCGCTATCGCTATGGGCTTGGTGCACGCCGGTGTTACTATCGATGTAAACGTATGGTCCTATGGAGTCATCACTCGCACCCCACTCTTCCACCACAACGTAACATTCCGCGTGCGAGTTGCCGACCGGTTACTGCGCGACTCTACCTGTCAGCTGCTCCGTTGCGAAGGCACACAAATTCTTACATTCTTAGCGCACCTCGCAGTGGCGTTTGACTGGGAGTTCTGTCAGCAGTCGGGCGTCGGGAGACACGCGCAACCGGTCTTGAGACGGTCTGCGCCAGAACATACTCTCACGCATCAGAACGTTGCAATGTGCCCCTCTCGTAAGCACAATCAGCCGACTCCGATGGCGCGGGAAAGACGATGGGACCGCAGCTAGTGTACGCGGCAAAGTGCTGCCATTCTGCCAGTGGCGCTTGCCGTTCAGCCAGCGGGCCTGCACTGGCAAATATTGGCAGATATATTTAGCGCACATACCTAAAAATGGTCGTAGGGGTGGGACCCGCGGGCTTCTGATGCCTGGGTACTCATACAAAAGCCCTGTAAAAGTACTACTAGTATGTGACGTCTTCCACAGCACTGCGTTCTGTGGACCCATGACGATACTGATTGCTCTCACCTTGTTCTTTGGTTAGAGGGTGTGACCGGCGCTATAACAATGAGGAACAGCCTACGCCGCTCTTCATGCACTACACCCCTTCAGAAAGCTTCGAAGCCTCATCTGAGGCTGACTGGTAAGCTGAAAACGTCATCAGGTACTCCCTAGGGCAATCTGATGGATGTATGTCAAGAGGAACTCACTCCAGACTCTATGTCTCTCGACGGAGGCGCTTAAATATTTGCCAGTTTCTGCCGACCATGGCAATTGCCATATTTGTCATATCTGCCGGCAGAGTAGCCCAAAACATTTCTGCCATGTACACTAACCGCAGCTCGCGAACAGCAAGTCAGCGCATCACAGTAAGTAAACATTTGTAGTTCCCATTCTGGAGAGGGCCGCAAAGGAAGCGGAGCTCAGCCGGGCGGTTGTGGGAACTGCGAATATCTTAGGAGCCGCATGATGCGGGGGCGAAGGCTTCAGAGACCGTCAAACAGAGGCCGTTCTTCACGTCATCCTGAGTGGTTGTCTATGATTACACCCATGTGCATCAATTCGAGGAAGATGAAGTATCATGAGAGCCTACGAGGTGACATTGACAGGCTGCGGGAACGCTTGGGTATCTCGGGACCTTGTGTTGGCATGAGAACACTTGCCCATGTTGTGCTATCCGCTCACAATCCATTCGTTACTAAATGAGGACAATCTGGAGACCAATGATACGCTCACTGGAGACACTAGGGTCAGGAAGATCCACCTCTCAGTCAAGAGTTCGGGCTCGTTCTGCCGCTTGATTCACACGGTATGAGGCATCCTCTAGCGTAGAGAAAGTGTTGAAAAGGTGTGCGAGGGAGGACCCTAGTGAACGCCCTAGATTGAATGAGGCAATGATTGTGTTGAGGCATTGGTATAATTCCTTCTCCAGCTTGCAGATTAAATGAGATGCTATACTTGTGACCAACAATCTTGTCATGTACTATACGGGTAGTATCCAAGCCCTGAGTACTTGCTGGCTCCTGGTTCCCAGTAGTCTCACTCGCGGGAGGAATCGGTCAGGCGAGCGAATTTGGAGGCCATGGATGATTCGATGAACCACCACAATTGTAGTAGTGTTGTATCGAATCTCGGGTTTGCAGTCTCGTAAGTACAAGTCCCCATGTGAACATGCTCAAGTCACAGCATACTCGCACTTAGATGGCTATGTCTGTGTCTCATGTCCTTCCATGTGTGTGCAGAGATTAGCCAAACCAAACGCAATATATGTTCTCTGTTCTCGTTCAAGTTGAATCCCCAAGTTGAATCCCCAAGAAATTCAACTTCAAAATACCCACACTTGCGGCCAGTCTCAGCTGCCCGTCGCCATTGGCACGTGTGTCGCTAAGGAATGACGCACAACAGGCGCCTGTTCTGTACTACACGTCGGGGCGGCACATGGAGTCGGCTTCTTGTTCCTCGCCCTCACCGACGTTCCCAAGCTCTCTTCGTTCCTTCGCACCACGTTGCGCCCCAGCGAGTGCGCATACGACGTCGACGACGATGGTCGCCTTACGCGTGCGTGTCCTTGTCGTCCCTACTCTACGCCCACCGACTCCGGCGCGGCTTTCCCGACACGTCTCTAGCCCGCCATGTCTCGGAACACTCCATCCACCTGCACCCGCTCCAACTGTGAGGCTTGCATTGCTGGGACTACCATCTAGACGATGTTTTGCGTCTTCTGCAACTTCTCGCGCTCCTTCGTCTCCTCCTGTCTCCGAAACCAAGCGGACAGAGGTCAAGTCGACCGAAAGCAGGTCGCAAACGCCGGGCAGGTCAATATGGAGTCGGTTCCTACCCTCCAATGCGCAGGAATCGGGCAAGAGCGCGTCCTCTTTCCGCAAGATCGTTTCCCTCGCCACTCCGGAGAAGAAGCCGCTAGGAGTAGCGATTGGGTTGCTCTTGGTGTCGAGCGCGGTCTCGATGAGCGTGCCGTTTACGATCGGGAGGCTCATTGATTACTTCTCGAGCACGAACCCGGTGAGTCTCCTTTCATTGCTGTGCATCGGAGCTGGTACGTTTGCGTCCGCCCTTCGTACCTTGTTCATGTACGGAATTGTAGGAAATACCCTTCGGCCTGTCATTAGGACAAGCATCTGCGATCCTCCTACTGCTCTTCACTGCAGGCGCTACCGCTAACGCAGGGCGCGCAATGCTTATGCGTCTATCAGGTACATTCCCTTTCTCGCATGGTCGGCACCTCATCTCTGGGAACGCAGCTCATACCTGGTAACCTGTAGGTCAGCGGATTGTCGCACGGTTGCGGGAACGGACATACGCGGCAGCACTGCGACAGGAGGTCGAATTCGTCGAGAAGGGCGAGGGTGACGTCCTGAGTAGGCTCAGCGTGGATTCGAGTATTGTAGGCGAGAGGTGCGCTCATACGCGCTCTACTTGCTTGTTCCTTAGTTAACCATCCGTTAGTGTGACACAGAACCTCTCGGATGGTCTTCGGTCGGTGGTTATGGCGTCCGCAGGGCGTACGTGTCCCCTTCCCATTCATGATCTCAGTGAGATTCAGCGCTGAGTTTGACGCGTCCGTCTTTGCAGTGGGAGCGATGTTCTACATCTCCCCGCAACTCACGCTCCTCATGCTCACGGTCGTACCTCCCGTCTCTCTTGGGGCGGTATTCTACGGCCGGTACCTAAAGAAGCTCTCCAATCGCACGCAAGAAGCCCTTGGTGATATGACCAAGGTTGCTCAAGAAGCCTTGTCTGCGCTGCGCACGGTGCAGGCGTTCAATGCGCGCCCGCAGGAGGAGGCAAAGTTCCACGAGAAGGTCGGGACCGTGCTCGCCCTCGCGCGCAAGGAGGCTATCGCGAGCGGGGTGTTCTTCGGGGCGACGGGGTGGAGCGGCAACGTCACCCTACTGGCACTGCTGGGCTATGGGGGGACGCTTGTGAGCAGGGGCACGATCTCGATGGGGGACTTGACGAGCTTGCTGCTTTATACGGTTTATGTGGGGAACGGGTTGCAGATGCTAACGTAACTATATCCTTCTACAACATTCTGTGAACTGCGCACTCACATGTCCTCTTCAGCACATTCTTCGTAGGTGTCCCTCCGCTGGTTCTTGACAGTCCGTCTTGACGCACCATTGTTTTCCGTTCCATGTAGTCGTCCATCATGCGTGGCATCGGTGCGGGAGTGCGCATCTTTGACCTGCTTGATCGTACCCCTGCGATCCCTGAGAGGGGCGTCCCGGTAGACCCTGCTAGGCGCGGCGTGATTCGTTTCGAGCATGTGTGGTTCGAGTATCCGAGCAGACGCAATGCCCAAATCCTCAAGGACCTTAACCTTGAGGTCGCCGTCGGTGAGAGCGTCGCTATCGTGTAAGTTCACGATTCGAGTTGGGTTCAAACATGTGTAGCTGACTGCCTGATACGATAGCGGCCAGAGCGGAAGCGGGAAAAGTTCGATCAACGCTCTCCTGCTAAGGTACTACGACCCGATCAAGGGCAAGGTTACTTTTGACGGACAGGGTGCGCCCGTCGCCTTCTCATCAGTCCGACCTGTGCCACTGAAATGCAATTTCAGACATCCGGGAGTTCACGCCTTCGTCTTGGCGACAGATCATCGGCGTCGTCCCACAGGACCCTATTCTCTTCACGGGCACCATCGCGTCGAACATCGCATACGGGAACCCGGATGCGACACGCGAACAGATTGAGGCCGCCGCGCGCGAGGCCAACTGCGAGTTTGTGTGGGGCATGCCCCAGGGATTCGACACTGAGAGTACGTCCCTATACCTTTCCTGATCCCGCCTTTCACTCCCCCTATTACTAGAGACAGCCCTTGTTGACTCATCCCTCATTATCTTGTCTAGTCGGCCGCGCGTCGCTCTCGGGCGGACAGCGGCAGCGGCTGGCGATCGCCCGCGCGCTGCTAAAGAAACCGGCCATCCTTGCGCTCGACGAGGCGACGTCCTCTCTCGACGCGACGTCCGAGCACCGCGTCAACGACGCCATTGACAAGATTCTACGGTCTCGGCAAACGACGTGTCTCGTCGTCGCTCATAGACTGTCGACGATCGCGCGAGCGGAGAGGATTGTGGTGCTGGAGGACGGGAAGATTGTCGAGAGTGGGACGTATCGGCAGTTGGTGAGTGACAGCACGACGTCTGGAATTGATGGGAGGACTCAGGGTATTTTCATGGCTGTAGGTGAACCAGGAGGGCTCACGGTTCCGGCACTTGATGGCGGCGCAGCTAAACGCTGCAGCCGGAGAGTCGCTCGCGTCTGGCGGCGCCGCGTCGCATGATCCAGCGCCGGTGTCGGAGGAAGTCCCTGTGCACGAACCCCAGAAGCAGGAGTTTGCTCCCTAGCATATCCGCTGCGATGTGCCCCTTGCCTTGCATCCGCTCCGGAGGATGTCGCGCGTGCCGAGTCTCCCGCTGCGGCCAACAGTCTTTGGTGGAGTTGGGAGCATCGAGACGTTCTGCTGACGTGCTGGTAAACTCACAGCAGGTGATACGCTATAGCTTGGGCTGTGCTGACGCATCACAAGCTCCCCCCCTAGTGGGGGAGATCGATTTCGAAGGGATAGGCAGTCAAAACCCGTACACACTTATTGGCATACCTGTACCCATGGCATTGCATCATATAGCTCCTTAATCGCATCCCTTACAAACCGCTCCTTGGACTGATGTTTGTCTCGAGATTGTCCGGTATATCACGATGTAACGCTCAGTACAGGTGTTAGTACCAGTGTACGTGTACAGGCAGTGATGAAGGCTAGGTATGTGGCAACTGCTATTCATACTGTGCGTTGGGTCTGCGCTGATTCGATCCAGATTGCGCAGACGTAAAACATTCGAAGTTCCGTCTCATCCCAACCAGAGAAGGGGAGATATCGGGCCGGTGACCACATTCAGGGGCGCCTGTTGAAACTACAACATGGCCCATGGTGGATATGGTGTACCCATTACATTCCACGACGGGCACCGCCTGGAATCTCTCTTTGAAAAGTGTCAATTTTGGGAGGGTTAAGCGCCCGTCGATAAAGGGATGATTAGTACCGCCCTAACGAATGACTTCCGTTTCACGAGGGATTTCAAGCGTTGCTCGTCGTGTGTAGTATACTCATACTCATTGCGTATATAGCAGGCAATTCGGGGGGCAATGCCGGCTAGCTGGAATGTTCTGGCAACCTACCGCAGCACCCATGCTTGCCGGAATCGCCCTGCTAGCACACCGGCGGTCACGGCTTCTATGCCTTCGACGACTTCGAACGCCTGTGCTGGCGACCCGTGTTCTACCATATCCCGTCCCGCATCTTCACACCCATGTTAGATGCTAGATCCGACTTTGAACCCTATATGAAGGAACTGAGCTGAGTCCTCGTGGTCGGGGCCATGTGGATGCCATGCAGCAGCCTCCATTGGTGTCCAGGCGGGTATTTCTAGTGCGACCGGCTTCATCTCCAATCGCACACCCACCGAGCCGATTGTCAACATGTACCGCAAGGGTCCGCTATCCGCTTTGAATATCAGCCCCTCGCTATCGGCTCAGGGCGGTGGCGCGAGCGTTCCCACAGAGTTCACCACTCCCGCCGAGGTCACGGTAGCTGCGGTAGCAGAGATTATAGAAAAGATGAAGGGATCCTTGGGTAATCTTGGTGTAAGTCTCTATTCTCTACCATGGCTGCCTCCAATGTGCCAGTACGATATATCATGTCCCTTCACTCACTGTGCCTGACCGTCATTCATAGAGAACGCTTGACTTGCTTGGAGAGCAGGGAGTTAAGACGTCACAGGCCAGGGGCGACGACGAAGTGGCATTGCAAATTATTAGGTTTGTCAGGAGCACCGATGGAGAGCCATTTCATTGCGGGGTCCTCACTTGTGTATCTCCGCCGCAGTGTTCGCAAGCAGATGGAGAGCGCGGATGCGAAACAGGAGGCGCAGATTTCAGATGTCGAAGGTAAGCCTGATTTACCGCAGAACACATTCAACGATTGCTGGCGATTAACAGCCCCGTCGTCGTGTACTAGATCTGCTCCAGAAGGTGCTTCAACAAGATGTACTCAATCATTTGACAACACTGAGTGAGTGACTAGCTGGTCAGCAGCAGCATGTCGGGCTCTTACTGACTACATCTGTGTTGTATGTAGTTGAGAACGGCATTCTCGAGGAGATCGACACCATCGTTCAAACGGAAGTCGCTGCAGAGATTCCCCAGATCATCCCTCAGCACCTCCAAGATGAGCTGCGGAAACATAAGAACGAACTTGAGAAGGTGCAGAGGGACCTCTTCAATTCGTGCGCTTCCTCGTCTTCGAGTGCATCTTGAACGCATATAGACTACACTCCGCTCGCTTGTAGAGAGTCCCGGCGTGCCAACTTCGCCCTGCGCTCGCATCGTCTCCATGAGAAAGTACATCCTCTCTACAATACAAATGGAAGCATCAGTGAATGTTTCCCGTCGACCCTTGGCGAGATGTTCGCAATTTCTGGTATTATTGGCCTTTATTGCTGGTAACTGGGTAATGACTTTGACCGTTCATTACAGCTGAGACGGCGAAGAGGCTCCTTCGCGAATATGGTCTTGAGGGATCGTCGGAATCTCACGAGAAGAATATCAATACTTTCCTGTTGTTTTGTGGCCTCCAATATCAATTGGTACGCCGCTCCGATGGCCTGAGTACTCAAATGTATGCAATGTCGCTCACTATGGCAATTGCTCTTAGACGGTATCTAAGGAGTCAGGAGTACTGCTCCCAAGCCGGATACATCCAGAGGGCTCGAGCAATGGGGGGCAGGATTGAAGACTTATGGAGACCTTATGGACGCGGGTTGTATGTTCACGATTGAATCTGAAGCTTCACGAATCCTCAACTAACACCTCCTTGCTCGTGCTAAGGGTCTGAACGAGCTGAAATAAAATTGACCAACGCAATCAGTAACGCTTCGCATGCTGCCTATACGCCCTTTGAACTCTCCAATTCCATGCTACTCCCAGACGTCATATTCACTTCTGTTTCAAAGCTGCCAACATGCACTGGTTGGGCGAATGATGCTACGAAATGGGGAAGGGTAGTGCCCGATTGCATGGCGAACTGTAACCCGTCCGATAAGGTACCCGGCTCGGACTGATGCATATGACTCCGTTCAACTCGTCGCAGATTGAGGATGAAGTGGCATACGAGAATAGAAGTTGCACTGGATGATATGGACCAAGCCATCAAATCATAGAGCGTCACGGACCTGGATCTGGGACACTTACGGAGTGAAGAACATGGATATATAACCGCCGGCTCCGGACGCGACTTCGCTTAGCTGAGGCTGGCGATCAGCATAAGAAACTATGTAGGTGGAGCGACGCAACTTACCGAGGGCATCATGAGGATGATTCCTACGATGTTCACCGATGCTAGGATTCTAGTCATCAAGTGAGTTCATGGTTTGTGTACCTCGATACGGCGTTTCGCCTTACATGAAGTAGATGCTTCCTATGGACGAGAAGTAAGAGCAAGCGAAGTCGAACAGATATTCATGTACGTACCATTGTACAACAGGATAGAGCTGAGCGATTGACCGTGTATACCTCCGGTCTGCATACGGTATGATTGATATGCGAACCACCAGGTAGTGGCGAGAACGAGAGCGTCAGAAGCGATCCAGGGGACCCTCTGGGCTAGTGTAACTGACAACAACGATAGACTTCAGTTCAGCCAAGGGCTATGCCAGCGAAAGTGAACAGCGTCGTACACCTGTGCAACCCATGTGAGCAAAGCGTCCGTCATATCGGAGGTAAGCAAGCTCACGTCCAATCGAGCGAAGGTGACGCGCGGTCGACTGTGCTACAGTTAAAAGGACTGGGGAAATTCTTCACGGCTTGATACTGGATAGACGAAACCTGAAGGTGCTGATAAGTTTACCGTCCAAAATTGCAACGGATGGTTGGTGTCAACTCACCAGCTGGGCGACTATAGGCCCTATAGCGAGCAAGGCCGCAAGGGCAGACAGATATTTATTGCCCCCTGAGAGCGCATACGCTCGCATTGCAGAGAAGACTGTGTATACATGTCAATCCTCATATCTCGAGATTTAGTGGTTTGTGACACGTACTGCCAGGCGCGAAGGTGCCAATGACAGCTGTGACTGTCTGCATCCATGCAACCGCGTTACAGCTAAGCTCAGCCATGAGAGATGCACACAGGAACATGAAGGGACAATAAGGTGCACACCTCTAGGACAGAAATTCAGCTCTTCTCTACAGCATGCTCAGTGACGCGATAATTACATACCAGGGTAGACATCGGAACTATACTTGTAACGGCCAGCAGGTTTTGCAAGAGCAACATGTACCGGCTCAAGGCATAAACAAGTGATGCACCGGTGCGCCTGCTGTTCCAGTTCCAGACGAGTTGGATCTCTTCCCCGAAACAGAGAAGCCAGTCGTACGCAAGCCAGGCTGTGCGAGCTGTGTAAGGGAGAGTATTCCTATAGGTGTGTGTCCCTGACCTACCGAAGACAGCACAGACGCAGAATCCACTTGTAAGCCTAAATACGTGTCCTAGTCAGGAAACACAGGACGATTGATGATAGCGATACCGTGCACTCACAGACTTGACATCTCTTCGGGACTGACGGCCACAGCGTTCGAAGACATCGTTGAGTCCAGTCGACTGTATCGCGGCGAGGACACTGAAATTCCAGAGCCGGGAGAAACACAGACGTGTCTCCCATTATTTGAAGCAGGTACCACATCCACAAGCGAAGAAGAAAATTCGCTCAAGACTGAGCAAGTATGTAATCACCCGACGCAATCGTCGTGGTGCTCATGGTGCTCTAGCCTTTCATGGAGGCGAAGGATGGTCCCTACATTGGTTCCCATCAAAACGCCGGCGCCCCAACGCGGTGAAATTCGCATGACCGCGCGCACAGTGCCATGGAGACTAGCACTTCCAAGTACCATGCTGTCTCCCTTCGAGTACGGACGATAAACAGGAAGTTGGCAGCACTCATCGCGGATACTAGCATGTCTGCTGAGCATACAGCAGGGAGATCCAGAGCGCGTCTTCAGTACGTACATCTCTGGACAGGCGTGTATATCAAATTCGCTTCTCGGGCCATCTTCGCGATAGCTGGGTTTTGCAATTCACGAACCGTAGCGCGGTGTAGAAGTGTCTTGATTAGGCATGAGCCCTTTCGATTGCAACGATCAAGCGAACTTTGGCACTAACCGCAGAGGACCAATGTGTCTTAGGTCGGAAGCAGTCTAGATATTTGCGTTTCGCGTCTCAAAATTGAGCTCCGAGCTCATCGCCCCTAGCTTTTTCCGTGTATCAATACCAAGGCATCGGTGGTTGAAACGGTGCCTGAGAATGTCCTCGTACATAGGACGTAAGTGGAAGGAGGAGAGTGAATCGCCACCTCCCATCATGACAGGGCTACGAAGGACGAGCGCACAGCACTATGCACACAACGTAACGAGGATCCCGGTCGCGTGGATCAGCATCTACAGTCATAAATGTGCACAGGACTGCTTCTAGCATCAGAAACTCCGAGAGGACACTTACAAAAGCGTGATATTCGCACCTGCCCCTACTTCCCCTGCGCCATCAAGGTGTTGAGCGTCCGCGCTACAACTCCAACGGCCTCTCTGACAATCTCCCTCTCGTCAGACCGCACCCGAGCCATCACCCGACCCTCGAATTTGTCAGGATGGAACCGGAGCATCGCTTCCCGCAGCCTCTCGCGACGCCCCTTCTTCGACGCTTCCGAATTGTAATCCTCTTCGTGATGAGGGAGGAGGAAGGAAGAGATGGCTTCGGTGGTGAAGTCATCGATGCGGAGGGCGGATGGTGGCTGGTTTTTGCCAGCAGGATAAGCAAGGTAGATCGGCCAGGGAGAGCATGGGCTCGTCAGACTCGATGGAGGTGCTCGGAGCGAGGAGTGCCTTCCACCGAATTTCGTACAGCTCTCGCGCCTCTCCGGCCCGCATTTGCTCTCGTGCTCGACGCCGATTCCTGCGTGCCTCTTCTTCGACACGCTCGAGCCGCTTGGTCTCTTCCCGGATGGCCCTCTCCTTCGCCTTTCGGGCGTTGTGCTCCGCCTGTTTGCGCACCTGCTCCTCGTGTTCCGCGGCGTGCTTCTTCCTGCGATGTCGCGTCCGTCAGTTCAAAAACAGAGCAGCAGTTTGACAGCACTCACCTCCACATTCCCGCCCTGATCCACTCCGCGTACTCCTCGTCCTCCATGTAACGAGGGTCGACGTCCGATTCGTCGTCCATCCGCTCCATTCCGCCACCTCGCCACCTCCGCGGGACGTGCGCGTACGAGTTGAGCGACGCCTCGACAGAGTCCAGTCGCTCGTCGTCCCCCAACGCGCCCCACAGCTTGTCGCGGAATCGCTGCTCCTCGATCTCGGCCTGAATACGGTCGTAGTCTGGCTTGTGCGCGCGATGGCTGCTGGCAGGCTGAGGCCCATATTCGCTGTCACTGTCGTCTATATCGTTCGAAGACAAACCGACGCTGGTACGCCGTCGTTTCTTTCGATGTGAATGGCCGTCGGACTCGTCGTACTCGTCCTCGTCGTGTTGACGCCTGTGTTTGGCCGCCTTCCGCGCTATTTTTCGTGCCTTTCGCAAGTCGTGCTCGGCTTGTTCTGCGGGGGTTCGCTTGAGTCGTAGTTTGCTGGGGGACATCGCAAGGAACAAGAGACAGTAGGAACGGGATTCGGTCACAATGGTAGTAGTGGTGGTGGTATGTTAAGTACATACAGGTGTTCACTATGGCGCTGAACGTGTACGAGCGTCTGTCGGAGTCGGCTAGCATAAATTCCGCAACGTCGAACAAGTTGAACGCCTCAGGCTCCAATGCGGATGCATTACTCGAACATTCAACGAGAAGAGCGGCGTGGGGTGCCCTACGATGTATGTCGGACCACACCCCCAGAGATCTGTCTCATCTACAGCCCTCTCCATCTGTCACGAACACCAACTTGCTGCGACGTCGTGAAAACCGGCATCACCGACATGGTGGTCGGATTGACTACAGTGCGCAGTCTCCTCACCGCCGGGAGCGAAGCTGACGTCATGGGACTAACACAGAATTCCAGCAGGCCCTGTATGCTTGACTGAACTGTGATTATACAGCACTTTCATGCGATGACAAGATGATGGTTGCGTCTGCGATTCTGGTAATATACTCGTATAGTCCATTCGAGTGGTGCAAACCGCATCGGTGTGCGGCTCCTTCACGACTAGGTTTCCCGCTAGGTAAGCTGTGGTGATTATCTCTGTCTGAAAGGACAACACCCGAAGAACGAGGACTCATTGGTCATCTTACGGATCAGTCATCTCACGTTGTCCTCGTCCAAGGTTTACCAGCGGACTACGAACTCTCTCAAACATCGTGTCGAAAAGGCTGCCAATCGCTTCTCAGTGGGAGTCATTCCCCGTTCTTTTCGGCCCATCTCGCAAGGTGGCTTCCAAGGCACTGAATACTTCTATGTGCCTCGATAAGTGAGAACGACAACTACAGTCCGCCCTTGCGCCTACCATCTAACTGTCTTCCATGTCTTGCTTCAGGAACATGACTAGCGGTATCTCACAGCGCAAGATCCCATTCGACAATCCGCAACGCAGTACTGATTTGCGGATGTCTCGGTATCTTTCAGAAGCTCTGAAGGTTTCCGGCGCAGGACCACGCTCTGCCTATAACACAAACCTGCACCTCCCCACATCCCATGCCATATCCTTCATTCTTAGCCGCAGACCTTGAGATATGTCAACCGCACAACTTGTACAGACCGTGGCCACCTTGTAAGCATATCGAGTCTTTGTCGTCATTCTCACGTCGCCGTTCATTGTAACCATACCCCGGTCGGCTAGGTATGCGAGTTCGGACTGCGCCGTCGCCGCTCTCAGTACGCAGCCATACTCTTATGCTCTCAGACTCGTAGATGACCGCAGAAGGATTTTAGCTATCTTGGTGTATGATTGCGTTCTATCCTTTGCTGAAGAGCTTTCGTGCATCTGGCACCCGAAGAGGCGGATTAGCGCCGCTTCCCTTATATACACCGTCAGCCGTTATGTGACCATCATTTCCTATGCCGTGTCCGCGGCGACTATAAACCCGATGACACCGCTGGTGAGTGTGATATACCTGAGTCGCCATGGGCTATCTTCGGCTCACCCTATCCCTGTCACAGAGGTACGAGTTAGCTGCGCTCGTCTTGTGGCTATCCTATGTTCATGTTGTCTTGACAGTTGTGAGGCGACTCTGTGGATGCAGAATGTAGCCTTCTGCCTTTCGACGCTCGCACCTCCTGGTTGGTCTCGCTGTGCTCCTCTCGATGTTCTCTCTAACTGCCAAAAGTGTTCTCGACTATCCGGGTCTATGCTTTGTCCGGGAGGAGCAAGGTTCTGACCGCCCTCACCCTGCTGCTCTCGCTGGTGACCCCAATTACAAGCATGGTATGTTACTCCACCCAGGCATATGTTTCTCAGCTAACACTGACCCCGCACTCGTAGGCGACATTTGTCGTCTTTAGCAGGATCGAATATCTGCCAAGCCCCTTCAACTGCAGCGTCGTGCAATTGGTCTCTCCTCAAGAATCTTTCAGGTAAGTAACGCGCCACGGTCACGTTCAACATCGCATTGTATTGCGCGCTGAGACTGCAAATTCGCCAAGATGTGAGTTGACAAGAGACAATCCTCCAACGCAATTGTCGCGACCGATTTTCTTCCGCAGACACCATGTCTAGCCGAGCATGTACCCTCGCGGCCGATGCCATCGTGGTATTCGTAACTTGGTGAAACACCTACAAGTCTTACAAAATCCAGCAGGAGGCAGAGATCGGTCCTTCTCTCGCACGAGTCATGCTGTGGAACGGTAGGTCATTGCTTACCGACGCATAGTGGAACATTGACGTGAGATTCATCAATTTTCAGGGAGTCTTTATTTCATGTACGAGGAGTTCGTTTTTTTTCGTGCTTCTTGTCTAACGGTCTCGGAGCGAAGTGTCCTCGCAGGCTTGAGCATCGTGCACATTGCACTTACCGCTCTAGAGGCGAGTGATCAACAAGCAGCCTCTATGTATGTCGCTCAGAGGTTCAACAGATAGACGCAATCTTTATCGACGACAGCTATGCGAACCCTTTCATATATCCGTAAGTTTCCTATTGCCCCCTTTTTTTGTTCCATTTCAGTAAAATCATCCAACATTGTCTGCAGCATATCCTCGATCCTCGTCTGCCACTTTCTCCTGAACCTCCGCCAGGTCGACGTCGATCCGGCGTCCGAGTCGCACAGCCAGTCGATGTCTGCTGACGACCTCCGGTTCGCTGCGGTTTCCGCGGGCACTCTTCCTCGCTTCATCGCATCCCTCGGAGAGCCTGTTCACGTCTACGAACCGGAGTCTGTAGATGCGATTTATGATGCGTCTGATGAAGGCGCACTGGATGACCTTGTCAGGACTCAAGCTGGAGATTGCGTTGCAGATCAGGGGGATCGCCTGGGGTCAATAACAGAGGAGACTGGGTAGTTTTCAGTAGGTACTGCGACCACCATGATGGTATATACGTCTCGGGTTCGATACGATCCGAATGTCTGTCGATCGAGTGTCGCAGTGCGCTAGATCTTAGCAGCGATCTGACGCGCTCACTTGCTATTGCAGGTTGTTTATTCCCGCTATAGACAATCACTCTACGATCCCCTGCGTATATCACAGAAGAGCATGGCCAGGGGGTTTCCAAAGTTTCTGTATATATTACAAGCATGGGATCCGAATCGCCGTATTGCATCTTCCTCCCATCTCTGCCTCCGACAAACCGCCCGACTTGGCAGGCCTTCCCCGCAGACCGATCCCGTCATCTTGCTTTGTTGCTCCCAAACCGCTTCATAACTATCAGAGCCCTGCAACTCATCTAACCCCTGCAGCCTACTCCCGAGTGTCAGCGAGTATAGATAATTGTATAGGTCGGTCACACGGAATGAGGCAGGAAACTCTAGACGCCTGGCCAGAGTGCATTCCGCGTTAGGCGCCCGCATGTTTGCCCGCAAGATCAGGAGAGGACGTAAGTGTGCTAACTTGCTTCTCTTCCCTGTTCACCAACCTCTATGGCTCTAAGAAATGCTATACCACATCGCCAGTCATCCAGAAGATGCATGCTGAGGCTTGCGAACGTGTCTGCTCGTCAGCCAGGGCGTTGTGCCGCAGCGTGGGAACGGATGACTCCATTCTCCCTCTTGCCAAGTTAATACGATTCATCTACCCAGCCTCTCCTTGTCACATTCACCTGTCCTGCTCTACCTCTTCCGCATCTCCATCGTCCTCGACGTAGCCAGTTATGTCGTCAGACATCAACCCCTCACCCCCACCTCCGACGATGGACTTCTCAAATCCGCCAAATTACACATTCCCGACCCATCGCCTTGCCCGTTTCCTGCGAAACCCCGACAAGCAACCGGTCGTCCTCGTCGCCTGCGGCTCCTTCAGCCCAGTCACCTACCTCCACCTACGAATGTTTGAGATGGCCAAAGACTACGTCCGCCAAAACACCGACTGGGAGATCGTTGGCGGGTACCTGAGTCCCGTCTCAGACCAGTACAAGAAGCCCGGGCTTCTCAACGCCCAACACAGGTGAGCTTCCTTGATTGCAACTCGTCTGGGCTTCCTTTCCTTGTCGCATACGTCGCTACACCCTCCAGCGGAGGACATTTGGCTCCATCGTGAAGTCACGTGAGCCGATATGTGATCCGTTTTGGACAGTGTCGCCATCGTTGTCTTAATTTTCGGTTTCTACGAGTTGGACCTCGATGTCGTCCTTAGATCCTCTATCCGTGATTCGCCTCCAGCCCTGAATTGGCCGAGGGCATCACGAATATGTAGTAAGTTTGCGCTATTCTGGGGCGGTCCGTTATGACGCCATCTCATGGACGATTCCGCATACCCGTTCCCATCACGCTTCGTACCATTTCCGCTCGTCTTGCTTGAGCCTGCTCGCCTTGTCTCTACTGGGTCGAACGCGAGGTTGTTGGAGTGGCCCACATGACAGACACTGCGGATGGCAGTGGATCGCCTGGGTGGTAGACGCGGTCAACTATCACCTGGGGCGGTGAGGGAACGTGCATACCCTTCAATCGTCGAGCAAGCAACATTAGAGGAGAGATAATGCGACTATTATCTGCTTCGGATCTGACTAGTAACGTCTGAACCTCTGCGGGTGACGGGCCACTCAGTCGATCTTTGCATAGTCCCATGGAGACGTCGGCGCTGACATGAATTCTTCCTGCGCAGAGTAACCATGTGCAACCTGGCGGCTGACCTGACTTCAACATGGCTCATGGTAGACCCCTGGGAAGCCTTTCAGTCTTATCAGCGCACGGCCGTCGTCCTCGACCACTTCGACTACGAGATCAACACCCGCCTCGGCGGCATCCCGCTTGCCGATGGCTCCCTAACCAAAAAGCCTGCGCGAATCATGCTCCTCGCCGGCTCGGACCTCATTGCGACCATGTCCGAGCCCGGAGTGTGGTCTGAGCCTGATTTGGACCACATACTCGGCCGCTACGGGGTGCTCATCATCGAGCGCGCTGGTGCAGACATGGACCAGGCTATCGACGCGCTGTCCCGCTGGCGGCACAATATCCATCTCATTCACCAGCTTGTCCAGAACGACGTGTCGTCGACCAAGGTCCGGCTGTTCCTCCGCCGCGGGCTGAGCGTTCGCTACCTCCTCCCATCGCCCGTCGTCGACTACATCGAGCAGCACGGACTTTACATGGACGACGGGCCGACGGCGTCTGCTGCTGCTGGGGCAGTGCAGAGCGAGAAGGAGAAGGGCAAGGAGAAGGAGGGGGCGGACTCATCGTCGAATGCGGCGTGCTAGCTGTCAGAATTCGTCGTCTTGCATCATGCATCTATCGCGGTTGTACGTTTTGCTGCAGTTGTCTGAGCTGGGGTTCTGTTTGCTTGGCTTTCGTTCATCACATTTAGATCCTATATATTATGTACACTCCGGGGGATGACGAGCAGAAGGAACGCAAAATCGACACACTGGACTGTATGTCGTTCTGTATTGTTGTCTCGACGTGCTTCGGACTATCCTACGACCCCGTAATTACATGGCCAGTCAATCTACCGCCTATTCATTCCATCAGGCTCTTAAGGGCTGCTTTGAACTTCTAAATCATCTTGTCTCCTCTCGCGCGATCATGAGGACTGTTTCTGCCAGACCTCATGGCCGCCCACCCAGGTACTGAGTACCTTGCCCTTGCGGTCAAGCACGACCAGGTCGGCGTCCGCGCCGGGGCGGAGCGTACCCTTCTTATGCTCAATGCCGAGACACCTGTGAAAGACGTCAGCTACAGTTGTACGATCGTCATGCCGAAAAGGTGCTCACTTCGCAGGGTTGAACGTCGCGCACTTGATCGCCTCGCCGAGCGAGCAGCCGGTGAAGCGCGAGAAGTTGCGCACACACTTATCAAGCGTTACGACGCTTAACAGGACGTCGTATATCAGGATCGGCTGACATTGGACGTAGCGGAAGAACACAACGCACCTTCCAGCGAGTGTGTCGGTGCCCTCGAGGTAGAGCTTATCGCCCGACTTGACGAACCGCTTCCCGTCGCGCCACTCGTGCACGCCGTCCTTCAAGTTCGGGTCGAGGATCTTCATCGCGTCCGTGATCAGCACGCAGCCCTCCGGGTACGACGAGTAGGCCAGCTGCAATGAGGCCTCCGTCAGTCGCTGCTACGGTGAACAACGCGCGCGCGCAACGTACCCGGACAGAGTTCGGGTGCGAATGGATCCCATCCACGATCAACTCATAGAACGGCCGCTCGAACGACAGGTCCGCGACCTTGCCCTTCTGCAGCCCGAGCTCGAACGCGTCCACGTCCCCGTCCTGCGCACGGAGCACCGGCGTCTGCGGCGGCGTCTGCACATCGTCGAATGCCTCGGACGTCGCCTGCGGCCCCTTCGCCGCCGCAGCGCGCTTTGTGACGCTCGACACGCGATGGAGGGTGGACGTACGAGTGAACGTCGCGGAGACAGGAGACGTCGGCGAAGAGGGCGAGGAGAGATGAGGGGACGCGCCCAACAGGCCGATGATCGACGGGTCGCGGTGGTGCAGCTGGGGCATGGCGTTGAAGAGATGGGTGATGAGGCGCGCCCCAAACTGGACTGCCGCGGTGGCGACCTCTGTGGACGCGATGCTGCAGAGCGAGGCCTGACGTGAGCGGGAAGACGGCGAGGGACGTGCTCTAACGGTGCTGACCTGTGTCCGATCGAGAAGACGATCCCGCGGCGCACCAGCTCCTCAATTGTGCTTTGGACTCCATCTACCTCTGGGGCAGCGGTGATCACGCGCACCCCGACGGTATCGTCGTGGCCCTCCCCGCCCATGAGCCAGTCCTCTGTCACGGCGAGGTTCTCGGCGCCGTACACGTCCTCAAACGATCTAATCTCGTCCTGCGCGGCGAGGAGAAACTGAGGCGCGTGTGCGCCGCGCTTCGCAAACTGGATGAATGGGCCCTCGGCGTGCCAGCCCAGGAGCGTGGCCGAGTTCGCGGAGGCGTAAGGGCGGAGGAGGTGGAGAATTTTCGGATAGAGCGAGCGCTCTTGTGTCTATCGAACCAAGAAAAGAAGGTCAATGAACGGTTTCGCTGCTGTTTCGATGGGGCCAAAAACGAGAGCAGAAGCTTGGTTAAGGAGAGACGCTTCCATCTGGTAAGTAACGCAAGAAGACTCATGAATACATCACGGGATAGAACGCCTCATGCGAGGCGGCAACCCGACCTCCGCGGTGTGAACAAAACGGTCGAATTTGACGCATAGATGCGCACATGTACACCAGATACATTCACGGATCTGATGACATGCAAACCCAGGCCACGACACAAAAGACGTTGAGCCTATCATTGCTCCGGCTGTCGAGGCTCATCCCGGAGGGGTACAACGGATATCACAGGATGGAGATATGCTCGAAGCGCTACAGCACAATCTGTGAGCCCAGATACATTACGCCGTCAAAAGACGCATAGCCCCCACGACGCACAAAGGCGGAGATCAAGCCCGGAAGTATTCAGTGAATGATAGCTTGTACTGCACGAGTACAGCTGCCGACCGAATAGCTTCCTATTTCCCCTCGCTCTGCGTGTGCCGTTGAGGATGTCGTGCTACAACACAGTGCAGGGCATGCGGGAGACTGTCGCTCTGAGACGGAGGGGATGACACTCTGTACGCCCTCTGCATCAGCGGGAGCTGTACCGTTGGCGTTTGAGACTGGCCCCCCTGGGTAACACAATGCCTTTTGACACTGATAATAGCCTCCCCGAACACAGACAAACGCGGTTGCACAGATACGTACCCGTGAAAGCGCGATATGCAAGCTCATCCCAAGGGACGCTGTAGCGCCTCGCATGGAGAACCCCCGCGAAGCCGGAGTTGGAGCGCGTGAATGAAAGCACTAGATACTCACAATAATGGTGGGCAGCAACCTCCCCACGCACGTTTCAGCTGGACGGTCTGCGGATCGACAAGCCTGCACACTCACGAGGTCACACCGGTCTCGACAATCTTCTCGGCCACGGTGCGGAGGCCCGCCTTGTAGGCCTCGTCGTCGCCCTCGTAGACGGAAAAGTCAAAGTCGTATGCGCCGTTGATTTGAATGTCAATGAATCCTGGGCTGCTCGAATCCGTGAGAGGCTAATCGCGACACGAAATTTGCGCATATACGCACCTCAGAATGTTACCACCGAGGTCAATGATCCTATCCGGTCTCTCCTTGCGAAGGAAAAAGGTGCGCTGGGAGTCTAGGATGACGCCGCGCCTCTCGTCAATCCAGAGGTCCTTCTGAACGAGCGCGCCATCCTCCTGAGGTAGGAGACAATTCGTGAAGCAGATGAGGCCGTTGGGGGACGTCATGGTGAGTGTCAAGACCAGCTAAGGGGATTGGGGCAAGCCTTGAGCTTGGATGGAGGAGGATTATGTGTTCTATCCTAGCCGCGCCAGGCACTGGCTCCGCCGACGGAGATATCGAGTTGCGTGCTGCATGGGGGGAGCATATGGGTCTCGAACTTATCGGGGCATCGAACGGCGCGTGGTCGCACGAACGTTGGACCGGCTTCCCGGGCCAGGCCCCGCTGCCACAGGACGGAACGTTCTCGACGAGCGGTCACCGGTCTCAAGCTGTAGCACAAAAGCGACACAGAAGGTAGGCATCATGAGCGAGAACTACGAAGATCGCCGCAGAAGACGGCAAGTGTGGGAGATAAGTCTGCGGCAAGCTCAAGCTCGATCTTCGATGGACCCAACGAGCACAATGTCGGTGCCTTCTCAATCGACCTCCGTGAAGCCAGACGTTGCAAGAGGCCTAAGGTCGTGAGGATCTCAGCTATGTGCAGGATCGGTCTCGAAGCAAATCGCAAGGGCGGTGTGTAGCATACGGGGTCAAAGATATCGATCTCAAAATCGAGGCTCCACGCCTAGGAGAAACACAGGTAAGCCTATACAAGGCATTACCTACTTATTCCCTACTAACAGCCTACGATGTAAGTACACCACTGTCTATCGTATCCATGTCGTGTGCGAATGCTACAGATTGCATAACTTGCCTTCTACTTATACTTATAGTTTTCAGCGATCCTCACCTACGATTGGCTAATCTGTCTGGGTGAGCAGGTAGATCCGGTGTGGAATTGGTGGGGCGTCGCCACTACATATCTCCCTCGTATACACCTCCAGCCGCTACATTATCGCATCCCTCAGAGACTGAAGGTCACCTCGGCGGTGGGATCGCGAAACAATTCAAAAGATGCTTGTCTTTCTGGAAACTCGTCGAGTGGAGTCAGACGAACCCTGAGAATTGAAGTACAGCGGTGCATTTGGTATTAGGCGGCAAGGGGGCAATGTCAGATGCAAAAGAGATAGATAATAATTCTTCTTAGATAGGACAAGAGCACTTGGGCGTCTAAGCTGCCTCTTGCGGTGTTCAGCTCATGTCATCAACGTACAAGCAAATGCATCGCCTCTCTGATTGCAAACACGACCGCCAATTCCATCGGAATGGAATATACTCATCTCCATCTTCGCGCAAATTGTCGAACTTAATCTTAATCGAAACTCGAAGTCTCATAGGCGGTCAGCAGTGTTGTCATTGACCCGTCAGTGACGGGGTCGGTCGATGCGTCAAGTCAAAGGGTCAATAGGTCACGTCAATGATGGACCCGTCAATCAATCGTGGGAACCTCATCGTGATTGGCCCAGGATGGGATGACGGGGACCGGTCATCGGCTAACCCGGTCCGCACGCTCTTCAGACTCGAGTCGCGAGCCTGCATATGTAGTTGTGCGAACCTGTAAGACTTGTCTTGAATATGAATTGACTCTGCTTCCTCTAGAACGTAAGTTGTGCACCTGGGTCCACAGTTGTGTATTTGGAGAGAGAGAAACTACGACTTGTATTTAATGTAGTTGTGGTCATACATATCGGGACAGGGATTTGGACATGTTTGCATCAGCAAAAAGTCGATGAAGAGGGGAAGCACAGAACAAAATATTCGTGCGGATTCTGCTTCACCAGACAGAAGTCCTCGGAAACAGTTGCTTTCTGCGTCCCCTCACGGCCCTCAGTTGCACCAAATATTCCTGAGCCAAATGTTTTCTCTAGGAGATACAGCCCGTGTATGCTGCAATTGTGGTCATCTGTTTCTCCAAATACTTTCATGTAGTAGAGCTTACAACATTATCTGCACCTTCTCTACTTGAGTACCAAGAGAGACCACAATGATGACTGGGAGGTTGATGCCCCAGGTCGGATCGGCCTCAGCAAGCTTTCAGCTGAAGAGACCTGGAC